CGAGGGTTAAACATGGATGTTGACAACAAAAGGATGAACTGCTTTTGCTATTAGAGCAGTGTGTGTCTGTCGTGTTGCAGGGCGCGTGTACGCTGGTGCTGTAACACGTATTGTCCGTGCGTGCTTGCAGGGGCGAGTGTACGCGGTGCTGTAACGTATGTGTGTGCGCTGCTTGCAAGGGCGGCGTGTACGCGTGCTGTAACGTCTTGTCGGCGTGCTTCGGGTGCGTGTTACCGTGCTCGTAAACTATTGATTCGTGTCGGGCTTGCAGGCGGCGTGTTTTTTACGCGGTGACTGTAACGTATGTGCGTGGCGTGCTTGCAGGGCGCGTGTACGCGGTGCTGTAAGTATGTGTCGTGGCGTGCTGCAGGTGCGTGTACGCGGTGGCGGTAACGTATGTCGTGTGCGTGCTTGCAGGCGTGTACGCTGTACTGTAACGTAGTGCGCGCGTCTTGCAGGGCGTGTACGCGGTGCTGTAGCAGTATGTCGCGTGTGCGTCTTGAGGCGCGTGTAGCGGTCTGTACAGTATGTGTCGTCGTGCTTGCAGGGCGCGTGTACCGGGCGTACCATGTTTAACCCGCCTCTTGAGGGTCAAAAGGTTATCTGACACTTACTCTTCGCATGTCAGCAGAAAGTACATTTCATGGTCCTTTCAATAAAGCCATAAAAATGCTAGGTCACCGCTGAAACAAAAAAGTTTTTCAATCGCTCCGTCAGACCATGTCCTCAGAAAATGCCTAAAATCTGCCCTGTGCATAATTGACCTTTGACCTGTGACCTCCAATTTCGGCACAGTGATGGCTTTTCTTACCATGATGCTATACACCAACTATCACGAGCCTAGGTCAAGCTGTTTAGATGTGTGCCGCAATTCTGCATTTCCTCCCTATACCTTAAGTTAAGGAAGGAATTTTGACCTTTGACCTCCAGCTTCGACATCCCAACTTGTTTTCGGATTACCCACCCACGTCCCAAATATCGTGACCATACGTCGAGCGGTTAAGATTTGTGCCCAATTGTTGACGGACGGACGGACGGACGCACGGACGGCCGGACGGACGGACGATCATGCGATTCTACAAGATGAGCTAATAAATATAATTTTGTTCAAAATTTTTGAAGATTAGCAAACCTGCACATATTCATAGCCCTTTTATACTGGGGGTTATCCCGCTTCAGGTCCAGACCTTATAACCCCCAGTATAAAAGGTCGAAACATACTTAGCCCGAGCTAAAGTTATTCCGCTCTAGGAGGTGGTTCAGGTCCGCTTCAGACCCGAGCTAACGTCAGTATAAAACGACTTATCCCGAGCTAAAGTTATTCCGCTCTAGGAGGTGGTTCAGGTCCGCTTCAGACCCGAGCTAACGTCAGTATAAAACGACTTATCCCGAGCTAAAGTTATCCCGCTTCAGAAGCGGGCTAAAGTCGTGCACAGTATAAAAGAGGTATTAGAGTCATCAGAGCATGAAGAATCCGAAAATCAATATTGCCATTTGCACAGACACCTGCATGGCCGCCACTTTGGATTTTCAAAATGGTACCCATAAAATACATGGTGAACCTGACTAAGTGGTCGCTGTGCCGTCACACCTCCATCAGCTGAGATTTTACTCATAGTTACTGTCACTACTGCCGCTACACGCATTGCCGTTAGATTGTTGGAAGCGAGTGTGGTAGTACAGTGACTACTGGAATACTAGGAAGGCCCCCGTTTAAATTCTGGTCCTATGGGACATATGTTAACGCTCCCCGGAATAGAGACGAAGCACTCACTGTAAAGTTAGAGTTATGTAAGGAGTAACAGAATGCAGAGCATGTGAGGGGGCGGACATGCCATACTTGCCTGTCCTCCAGGTCCTTTACTCTCCCCTGCGCCAGCCGCAAACGCTCCTTGTAGCTCTCGATCAGCGTTCGCTTGTTCGCACTGTCCCGTTCGATGTGCCTCAGCCTGACAACACGCAGAAATTGCTTCGGTGATTCACGTGAGCTTTAATAATGGGTAGGAAGCGAGACAGGAATCAGTACTAGACACTACGACTGCGTCCCTGGGCAAGACACCTCAGTCTCACTGCTCACTGGAGTGCAGTAAGTCTGACAGCAACATAACCGTTGATTCCGTGACAGGCGATAGTATAAAAATAGAGACCAGCCGACGTATTCCGTCGTCGACAGACGGTGGCAGCACGCGCAGACGCGTTTACGCTCTGTCGCGCATCGCCCATCACGGCCGTAACCAACTCATTTTGCCTTAAAGGGGTGCGAGGTCAAGGGCATGTGAAGTTTGTGTTCTTGACAGTTGACCGCCGTTGGCTACTACCAACTATACTACCAATGTAATAATATCGACATTTGTGCTGAAGGACATTGGCCCACTCCCCCCTCACCCCAGTTACGACCCTGCCTGTACGATCTATGCGACGATACGGCAGCACTAGAGTCTTCACTCCAGCACCACGGAGCAAAATGCGCGCGTAATGTGTTTACCGAATTCAACTCGGCGACGTGTAAATGCATTTGACATTAAACTCCGGTTAAACAGCCATAAAGGTGACAGTAAAACCCGGGCCACCTGTTAATAGCGCGGCACGCATCGGCGTAATCACGCCCCCCCCCCGCCCCGCGCGCGCTCGCTAATGCTTCCTTGCACTCTGTCACGCGTGCTGGAACCATCTGCGATTCATGAATAATAGAGAGCGACAGGTATTAGACGAGAAGCGCGACACTCCTAGGGGGCGGTGCGGCCTGGCGGGACGGCGGCGCGCGCGATGCGGCGTTATGCGCTCTCACTGTCGCGTCTCTCCAGCAGAGACGTTTGCTTGTTCGCGTGATGCGGCGGCATTATGCGCTCTCACTGTCGCGTCACTCCAGCAGAGACGTTCGCTTGTTCACGCGATGCGGCGGGCGGTTTAACGACGCGAGTGCCATCGTTAATCCGGCGGGCGTCGGGTTTATGAGCGACGGTGGGAGGCGACAATTGGCAGGGAAGCGGCGGCCGGCCGTTAAAATTCTAATCAAAGTGCATTTAGTGATGACCCGCGTCGCGCGAAAAGTAATGTGTGAGTAATTTCGTTTCATTAGCATTTTAATTATATGCGGTAAGGAGCATAGTGGCTAGTGATTGTCACCTCCAATGTACGAGCTTATGTATACAAGATTAACAGATTTTTCTATGTGTTAGAAATCAAAATTAATGAATGAATAATACATATCATTTAAATATATATATAAAGATATGTGCTTGTGTTTATATAATTTAATCTAGCTGTTAAAATTAAGTGTTAGATCACAAGATGTTACCATTTGTTTAGACAAATTTGCATGGTTTAAAATCAAAAATACTATTGAATGCAAACATATAATATTATATACATATTCGCTTGCATACGTATACTTACATGCTTATAAGTATATGTATGCAACAGTATATGGGATACTGCTTATCCCATAGTTATGTATGTAACAATGGATTCCAGACACACAGGGAACATAAGTGTCTGTCACTCACTTGTCTTGAAGGTCTCGGACTTGACCCTCCTGCGATTCCTTCTCCGCCTTCATGCTGCGACCCATCACTGCTAAACGCCTGACCTCAGCCGTAGACGACTGCACAACACAGAAATCACTATAGACAGAGAGAGAGAGATAGTGTGTGTGTGTGTGTGTGTGTGTGTGTGTGTGTGTGTGTGTGTGTGTCGCGTCGCGT